AAACAAGATATAGATTCACATATATAAATAAAAAAGAAAATATATAGCAGAGGTGCAGAATCTGCCGTAAAAAGCAAAAATTTCCCCCACCGTTAAAATTTTTTCGAAAAATTTCCCCAGTTAGAAAAATCAAAAAACATGGCCTTCTGTGGATTATATATCTATAAGCAAAGGCATCGAAAAAGAACTACTTAAAACATACAGCGTGATTTAAAAAAACAATCCGTTCTATTAATTATCGATTGATTCTGGTAATTTTGGTACTTGTTTTTTTCTCAAATGGTTTAGTACAACAGAGCCAGGTGATAAAAGTTTCCATGTTTGATATTGTTCACTCTTTTTATAAAATAACCAATTTTTCTCCTTCTTGCTGCTGAAGTAATGATCCAGTGAATGTTTGATAAATGAATCAGCGAGATGCAATGGGGGAGCATTCCAGTGAAGCATTACTTCATTATCTAACGAATCATGATGTAATGAACGGTTGCCATGAATATGTCCTTTTAAAATTGACGCTGCTGATTCACATATCGCTTCGCTTCTAATTTTGAGTACCATTAATGAATGAAAGTAGAGAAAATCATTGATACCGTCGGATAAATCTGTACTTGTATAAAAGCTTTTCATCACTTTTGATGTGATCAACTCTCCATTTGTTGTCCAAATGTCCAGGGTATCCTTCTCTTTGATTTCATGTAAAACTCGTCGTTTCCATTCGGAGTATTGATCTTGTATAGTATTTCCATCTATCTGTATATATTCTGAGTTCAACAGCGTATATTCAATAAGTCCTTGTAATTCAACTCTGCCATAATCAATCATTGTTTGTTTACCTGTTGATACCACTAGGTCGTATAAACGTGAAACATCTAAACAATTTTTCATCAATATAAAAATATATGGTATCTCTCGAAACCGTGTTGTAATTGTTTCAACTAATTGTTGACATAATTCGATCAATTTTTTTCTTGCATGTGTAGTTGGATCTTCTAAATCATAATCACCAGGTCGTATGATGATTGGACGTTGTTTGAATTCACATTTCAATAGATCTTGATAATATTGTTCAATATATTTTGCTGATGGCATCGCTCGAACTTGTGTATCTTCGTCGTCTTCTTCTTGTATATCACAATCGTCATCGATTGTTGGTCCGAGTAAGCCAACTGGTTCCGGTTCTTCACATTCTAACGTAATAAGATAAAAGTGTGTATTCGAAAGGTGGCAATATTTTAGAATCTAAAACAAGAATTTACCTTCCAAACTATCCATTTCTTGTGTTTTATTTAAATCTAATTGTTCAAGTAATTTACTATATCCATTTAAACATTTTTGTAAATATCGAATTGAATCATCATGTTCCCGCGGGTATTTATTGACTTGCTGCACAGACATAGATGCTCGTACAAGAATATTGTAGATATCATTTAAACCAATAAGTTTACAAACAAAATCCACAGATTTGATATCTTCATGCTAAACCAGAGAATGAAGTGATTCTCACGGAGTAAAAATTCTGATTACAACTTACTTTGTAACTAACATTATCGCTATCACCTGCTTTGTATTCTGTATCAATATTTCGTCTTGTTCTTGCACTTACATTTCCACCTGCTAATGAGTTAATTACACTATCTTGTTCTTGCAAATAATACAGAGTTGACCAATCTCTTAATACTGTTTCGTATACGCGGAGTTCGGATTGAACAAAACGGGTAATATGAAATTGTTTTGGTTGTAGTATTTGTTCTTCGACTAATTCTGCTGCTTCCAGTAGGTGCTCATATGATTTCCCATATGAATATTTTTTCATGATTGTACCACATGTTTTAATGAATCTTTGTAACCAGGAAAATTTACTTTGTTTCTTTGCATCATTTATTGCCAATTCAAGTAAATGTGCACTATCCCATGACACTGTTAACCATCTCTCTCGCATTCCTAGTTTTTGACATAGATGTTTTTCAATTTGCAAATTAATATAAGCACCATCGACGGCACAACCAGTGAATTGTTCTTGCAATGCATTTTTTTTCAAGCCAAATGATTCTAGTACTCGAACACAATTACTAGCTAAGTCTTCCCCCGTTAACTCTGTTTGACATAATGGAGACTGAAGATAAAGAGGTGTTAACTGTCCGTCAATCATTACGATCATAATTGTCACCTGCATCGACCTTTTTAATAATGTAACTTTATCCAATGTTATGCCGAACGGTCGACGACGTTGTGTAACAGGATCAACCGAATGTAAATATTCACTAATTCTGTTTTTCATCGTTATTGTCATCGACGTTCTTAGTTTCTCGAAAAACCATCGACTGTGTCTAAACATATATGCAAATAATAAGGTCTAGCATGACACTGACAGATTTATCTCTGGTAAAATAGTTTTATCTACCTATAAGTTCCAACTGATGCTCCAGAGATATCCAATAAGTTCAATGTATCAACAAATTTCAGACCACCAAGACCACCTTGAATGCAGAATAACGCTGCTCGACCAACATTCCATCCAGCTTTCTCATTTTTTCTTAAAAAATCGTCGAATAATTTCTTTCGTTTCTCATCTTCTTCTACACACCAGATGTGTAGTTTGTTTAAATAATGATGTCTTAAAGCTTTTTTTAAATTTCGAAAACGTTCAGATTGAACTCGAGTCGCGTCTTGTTCAACGTATTCAAATGAGCCAAACGAAGATTTAATAGTACTTAATAAATGTTTTGGTGCATGTTTTTTAAACTTTAAACATGGTATACACGTAATAGTATCCAGTTGATTATTTATTTCCATATGCTTCAATGAATATAACTCATTCGTACATTTGATACTTTCAAATAGTTGTTCAATATCATCCGATTGTGGAATTGACGGCACATGCCTTTTTGCTTTGTCCGAATTCATTTGTTCTATCGTCTCTGATAATTTTGTCAGCTGCTTCGACATCGATAGTAATTGATCGTGAACGGAATAGATCGTCGGACTCGTCAAAACAACACCAGAAGGCATAGGTGAGGGATCCGAATGAATGAGTGATGGACGTGAGGGTGAAATGATGATAGAAGATTGTTGTTCTTGTTCCTGGTCGTCATTACTGATGGTATCTATAACTGTTTCTCTTCCTTGAGTTTTTTTTTGAAAAAATTTTTCCATATTGTTTTCTGCAAGCTTCAGTTTGAACGTTTTACCAGGATGATTTCTTGTACAATGGTCCTTCGCTTTATCTTTACGACCATTCCAATCACAATAAAAACACGATACTTGTTCTTTACTAGGAAACATTTCTACTGCTCAAAATCGTAACAATCTAGTGATCTAAAGTCAAAGAGTAAATACGAAGCATGACAGAGTAGTGATATGACAAGAAAGAAAAGTAGAAAGAATACCAAGAAGCAAGATAGTCACTATGACTAAATACGCAACAAGCAAATCAGAGAAAGTGTCTAGTAACCTTGTGTGATTACTCTCTCACCATTACATCATCAATATCAGAACAAAACAACAAATGAAGCATCATAACAGAAGAGCAGAGAGCGAAATATATCTCATACACATACCACTCACATGCACTCACGCGCGCGGAGCAACAAAACAGAACATATGGAACTGAGAGAAAGAGAAACAGGACAAAAAGAAAGAAATAGTTAATAACACAAAGGCAAGAAGCTCATAGGTAGAGGCATTACAGCTTGTGATTTTTTTCATATGGGAAAAAGTTATTTTTTCGAAACATTTCCAGGCTCAAAAATTTTCAAAAATTTCCCCAGATCTAAAAAATTTCCCCCACCGCGCGGTGCCGCACACGGGTAGATTCTGCACCTCTGATATATAGTATGTTGTTTTAATATGTAAAACAACGAATAAAACAAATCGTTGCATTAACACTTATATTTGATGTACTTTAAATCCATGTATTTATATTTGATGTAGGTATCGATTATAAAACTAATATCCGATCCAAAATAAAAGAGACCATACGGTTTTTTGAATCACTTTTGATAGGAACAAGATA